CACGGCAGGGCCGGTCCAGGGCCTAGGGGGAGCTCTGGGGATGGGGTGGGAGAACACATGGGGGGAGGGCCGGGAGGTGGGGGCCGGGGATCACTCCAGGCTGAGCTGGGGGAGAGACCCAGCTCCAAATATTGCTGGAGCAGGGCCCCTGGCTCTGAATATTGATGGAGTATGAGCACCTCGAACCCATATAACTCGCCGCGCATGGCCATGCGGTGACAGCGCTGAATCAGGAGGCCCAGGTGGGAGAGTCAGTTTCTCCGGGCCTCAGTTTCCCCACAGGACCGTGGGGAGGGATAATATCCCTAGCTCCACCCTGGGGCACTGCCCAGCCCTACCTGCCAGGGGAGAGTGCCCCCTGCTGGGCCCTGCCCTGCTCCCTGCCCCACAGTGCCCCCTAGCGCTGCCCTGGGGCATTGGGTCAGTCCTGCCTGCCAGGGGAGAGCGCCCCCTGCTGCACCCTTGCCCCGCTTCCTGCCCCACAGTGCCCCGTAGCGCCATCCTGGGGAACTGGGCCAGCTCTGCCCTCCAGGGGAGAGCGTCCCCTGCTGGGCCATGTCCCGCTCCCTGCCCCACAGCGCCCCCTAGCCCGCCAGGGGAGAGGGTCCCCTGATGGGCCCTGTCCCACTCCCTGCCCCACAGTGCCTCCTAGTGTTCCCTTCTGGGGTCCTCTAACCTGGTAGGAGCTGAGCAGCATGGACAGGGCGCAGAGTTTGATGCTGGTCTCCTTGTTTCTTTTCACGTCCATGGAGCCCTCGGTGTCGACCAGCAGCACGGCCACCTGGGGCCAGGAGAGACCCACGTCAGCACCCGGTTTTGTGTGCCCCCCCCACCCCTCTGCCCTCCTGCTGGGCCCTGATGGCACCTGGCATCTCGTTCTGTGCTTCCCTCAGGGCCTCCCTACGTCTGTCCCTTCTCCTGTCCCTCCTTTATCTCTGCACTAGGTTCCCCTGCGGCCTCCTTCCGCACATTCCCATTCCCTCTGCCCTTCCCCATGCCCCCACTGCCTCCCTCCCAACCCTCCACCCCTTCCCCCCCCCCACGACTCCCCCCTCTTCCTTCACTCTCCCCCACTTACCTTGCTTCCCCTAGTGGGGACCCAGAGGGGCTGGCTCCAGGCCCACAGCCCCCTGGTGACATTCTGGGTCCCGACGCGCCACTCGAACCCCGCCAAGGGCCCCTCCTCTTGGCCCATCCACGACCCGTCGCTCACACCCTGTGGGGGGGGGAAGCACAGCTACAAGGGGGGGAGGAGAATGACTGGTACCCCCTCACCCAGGCAGGCAGCCCAAAGACGGGGGCGGAGCTCAGTGCACCTGTGGGAGGAGAACATGGGGATGGCTCTGCTTGAGGATCCGAGGGACAAAAAGACCCACCACTGGCTTGGAGAGACACAGACAAACTTCATTCAGACAGACACACGGACATCTCCCGATCCAGACAGGCAGACAGCTCCCTCCGTCGGACAGGCTACATTCCAGACTAGGGCCCAGCCAACTGCAAGGGGTGGTGGGGAAGGAGGTGCTCCCAGAGGGGTGTGCCGCTTGGGGCCCTCCAACAGGGGGCAGGCGGGGGCCGCTCACCCCACAGCTCCCCCGACACCAACACCCGGGCGGCGGAGGCGGGT